ACTGTTGCTTTAACTTGGATCACAGAGTCACAGAAATAAGAACAATACCAACATAAATGACTGGCATTTTGTGCAGGGGATAAAAACCTTGCAGATTTGCCTTCCAGTGGTTGTAATGCTAAGAGTTTATTGAAAAGAAAATGGTAGGAAGGTCCAGAATGGTTATGGAAGTCACAAGAATTCTGGCCATTAAGTGAAAAGCAAGTCATTGATGAAAATTTGGTTGGATCAGAAGAAAGAAAAACAATAGTCAGTAATGTGGAGCATGGATCAGTTAACTTCACTGACAATTTACTTTATTTCTCAAAATATACGAAGATTCTTAGAATGTTTGCTTGGATACTTCATTTCATTAAAGACTGCCAACAAAAAGAAAAAATTAAGAAAAACCGAGCTGACTTATGAAGAAGTTCAATCAGCTGAAAACTGTTTGCTAAAATTAATTCAGCAGGAAAGTTTTGCCGGGAAAAAAATGAAAATCTTGAAGAACATGCAAATATTCAGAGATGAAAATGATATTGTTCGACTTAGAACAAAGCTTTTCTTGGGAGATGAAGAGGCAAATTTCAAATGCCCCATATTGTTGCCCCAAAGCCATCGACTGGTAAAGTAAAAACATTGTAAACTACAACATGCAGGACTTCGAACTCCGACTGCCAATTTAAGAGAAGATTACTGGATTATTTCGATCAATAATTTAGCAAAACAAGTTAGCTCTAGCTGTATTTCCATATAAAAGATTCAAAGCCAAACCTATAGAACCATCTTTTTCACCTCTTCCTAAGGACAGAATAAAAGCTGCTGCAGTTTTCCAAGTTTCAGGGATTGATCTCGCAGGCCCTTTGTATTTACATTCTGGTGAAAAGACATGGGTCGTACTTTTTACCTGTGCCATTTATAGGGCTGTCCATCTTCAATTATCAACTTCCTGTTTACTAGAAGTTTTCATTACGGCTTTAAGAAGATTCTTTGCTTGAAGAGGTAGAGTAAATATAATCTGCACTGACAACAGTACAAACTTCATTGGTTCAAGCAATGCTCTAAGAAATTTCAATTGGGAGAAGATCATGTTGTTTTCTACTACAGTACAAAGTCTTTAATCCGGACTCGTCAGGACTTCGGCGATTCCGGATTAGGGGTTTTTCCGTATTATAGATCATCAATTTAAATCTGGTAAGATGGCATGCAGAAATTCTAAAATTAAAAATATGAAACCGTAATTTATGAAATAAAGAGCAATTATGATCCAAATCCTGCAGCTAATGATTCAGATTCCAGTAAAGATGATGATTCATCACCTCAAGTCCCAGATTTTGTCACTAGAGCTGATTGACGTGTTAAAATCTTCAATAGACTTGATTTATAACTTTTGTTGCGATTTATAGGTATCCTTCAAATTGCAAGGTGGGAGGTTATTTGAGTAATACCAGCTACAACTCAACTCTGTTTAACTTTTATGTTTTGAAAATAAGCTCTATCATTTTTGTAAATATACTGCTTCTAAACTTTGTGAAAAGCTGCAATTAAAGTGTTTTTCATATTAAAATTGAATATATTTTCATAATTATATTAATCTTTTAAAATACGTTTTTCTTCCTTACAAATCAAATTTTACTGTAAACAGTATGAATCCCGTGGTCAAAAATATAGTTCAAATGCTCGCCACTTTGAACTTTATCTTCCACTTTATGAAAATTTTAGCTTAGATATGAACAAATCTATTTTTCTATTATTTATTGCTCATTTTAATCACTACCACTCCTTAACTTTGTCAAGATATAATAACTTCCTTTTATATTGTTGCTTTTTTAAATACCAGATTGGTAGCATTCACAGTTCTTTATATGCTTGATCCCACAGCCTAAACTGATTTAATGGAAGCAGTGACTTTCTCCAACAAGAGGAAATATTCTTGAGAAAAATTTTAAAAAATTAGCGGTTAGAGTAGGCTTTAAGGTACCCCTTGTATTATGGGAAAGTTGTTTCATTTATCGCCAAGTTGTTGTTTTATTTATGGTAGCCTGAGTAGATGAATGTTATGGAAACCCTACTGTGACGTAATCGGGTGCATGATTCTGGGAAATTTCGAATCGTGGGATGATTTGTAAGTGCTTTTGTGATGCATGTTGGTTTTATTGTTTAAACGGTAGAATGGTTGAATGTAGTAAGATTAATTTGAAGTTTCTGTAAGATTTAGAACGAAAGGGGAAAAGAGCGTTAATTGACTGGTGTGTAAATGAAGGCTTACTTAGTAGCCATTATAAGAGTCCTGTATGTAAGAAAGATATTCATCTAGTCTAACGTAAAAACCGTTTAGATGGATTTGAATGGATTTGTAGGAAGAAAGGTTGAGATGTGGTAGGTTCAGATATACGGATTTGAGTTCAGAACATTTTAAGAAGTTTTTGGATGCTGTTAAGGAATTTTGTGTATCGCAGACTAAAGACGAAGGAATTTCTAAATAGGGTAAGTGGATATTTGCTTTTTGTGGAGCTTAAATGTATAACATGTTTTTCCTTTTTTATGTTATTTTATTGCACCTACTCTTATATGAGCCCTCAGGTCGCCACATTTCTTGCCAAAACTCCACACCGCCATATTACTACCTAAATTTTTTGTCTACATTTCGAATTTTAAGCCTAAAATGTCTTTAAAAACGAGGTTTTCGCACATGCAAAAACCACATTTTGAAGACACAATTTAAGCTGAAAACCCGAAACAAAAACAAAAAAATTTAGATAGCAAAAACGTAAAGTTTCTAACCAAAAATATTCGACAAGAATCCATGTACATGGCGATGTGTTTTAACTTGAAAAAAAAATCTACGAATTGCACATTCTAGGCAGCGAATGAATCTACGAACTACGCACACCTCGCTTCAATAAATTAACATAACAATAAATTTCAAAGAATACCATGTCCACAGCATTCTGTTTAAACTAAAACATCTACGAATTGCACAATCATTGCGCACAAATCAACCAAATAAACTAAATTAAACCATTAAAAAAAACCAATTACATAAACAAATCAATTAAAAAACATAACATTCTAAATTAAAAAACAAGCAAGCCACTTACCATATACATTTCAGAATAATTTCGCCAGTCGCACGTCTCTGACCTAAAGTTATTTTGCTATTCACACACGATTTCACGTCTTTCCGAGATTCAAAATTTCGAAGTAACGATAAAAACTTCCTCCAGAATTAAACAACCGAATCTCTTAAACTCCACGACAGCCACATATACCACAACCATTTTGACTGCCAAAATCCACACAAAAACCAGAAATGTCCTTCTTCCTCCCTCGCATTTGGGGATCCATTTAAAATTCCAAAAAAAATCCTCATAAACATGCCCATGAACAAAACACTCGTTAACAACTCCAACATTGTACCTTTTAATACTAAATTTACTTTGCACACAATCTAAAATATGCGACCGAAATCTTGCCACCACGTCTATCATTGCAACATACACCATTTCAAAACACGCACAACACGAACCAACGAGCAATTAAACTACTCCAGTAAAAGATTTTTCAATGTCAACAGGGTTGCCATACAACACGCAATCGTGGCAAAAACCTGCACAGAACACATATCGCCACATTTGGTGAGATTAGGGCGCATATAAGAGTAGAGCCATTTAATTGTTTGGTTTAAAATGTAGTTTATTGAGATTATGTATTTTTTGTTTACCTATAATGTAGAATTGAGTGCTCCTTTGACTTTTTACGTGAAAATATATCAATGTGTACATAGACAAAGTGAAGGGAGTGCGCTATAGAAGTTTATGGAATTCTTGGATTTTTTTTAAGTGTAAATAGGTCGACGTGTACATGGATAAAGCCAAGAGAGTGCGCAATGCCATTTTTGTGCAATTCGGGGATTTCTTTTTAAGTGGAAATAGGTAGATGTGTACATGGATACCGAGTTTGTGAAATTCTTTGTCTTGTTATTTTGGCTTTGTGTAGCGGCGATTTTTGGCACAAAAATCATCGTTATGCAAGCCAAAATAATAAGTCAAAGAATTGCACAAACTCGATATCCATGTAGCGCCGTTTCGCCAAGGAGTACCCTAAAATATACTTTTACCAAATTTGCTTTAAAGATAAACACAATAAGTGTAAAACATTATCAGTTAATAACATTAACAAGAATAACAAAAGACATCTATTCCTAACTACAGAAAAATTAAGAATGAGATATATTCTGATTTGCAACTTCTAACTGATTAACTGTCACTGGATTAAGGTATTTTAAAAGAAACACTCTTAATTTAATACTAAACTATCAAAATCATGTCAATGCTGCAAAAATTTAATCAGAAACATCTAGTAAAAACCTCATTATTTTAATAACTCTAGACACTAAAACAAAATTAGTACTTTTTGAAGAAAATTCATGAACTGTATCTGAATTTGCAAAGTGCATAACAACTTCTTTAAAGTAGCCAATTATTATCGCTAGAGATAGGCTAGGTTACTGAAATATGGCAAAGAACATGAGCACTATCTGTGCAAAGAGAGCAATGCCTTTCTAGATGTACTGAGGAAAACTGATTCATCATTACATTATAAGTGGGGGGAAAACCATGAATTCCAGCCATACAGCCAAGCTATTCGCTTGGTTTCTAGTTCTGGTTGAATTACGAGTATTTAATAATCTAAAGCACTCAGCCACTTAAGTTTGACAGTTACTGTTAGGGTCAAAGGAACCTTCAATAACTAAAAATCCAAAATCTCTCCATGGCCAAATTTCTGTTCAGTATAACCCTGCATATGAAAAAAACAGCAGCACCTAACTCTACTCAATACTGTGGCTTTGAATTCGTTAACACTAAATTGAAAATACAATAAGGTTTTTCTTTCATGTTTATAAAGCATTCAATGAAAAATACACCAGCAACCAAAAGTATACAGGAAAACAAGATCTATATTTTTGATCTAGTGCTTACTAAATTCTCACTATAGTTTTAAATATTAATTTTGCTTACCAGTATCAGAATGCCCAAGAAGTCTTAAAATAGGTTCAGTTGAATCTAAAGTAAATCCATAAATGGAACAATCATTACTTCCAGCCAAAATTAAACCACTAGGATATTGAGTACTTGATGGAAGCACACATAAACTGGCAATGTATTTTGTAGGCCCCACGAATACATGAGTTTCCTTGAAAGAACTTTCTCTAAATAAATAAATAAAAAAAAAAAAAAAAAAAAAAAAAAAAAAAAGCCTCTATTAGAGTATAGAAATGTAGCAGACAGAAGTATTAAGCATACATACATAACATATTTAAAATTTTACTTGTTAACTGCAGCAACATTTGCATTAATTTAGATGATATTCTATAACTGGTAAAAGTTACAAGGGATGACTTTTATCAAAAAGATCAAACTATCAATATTTATTGTAACTTAAAAAAGAAAATAATTAAAAATACAATTTTAATATGAATTGTTAAATATGAATTACATGATACTTTAAATATTATAGATACTAAATGTACCCTTCTCCTTATATACACATTGGTCTGTTTTTGCTTAAAACATCAGTAAATTACCCAAATTCGGGATTGCACATTATATATTATAACACATGTTACTGTTTTTCTCTATATGTTCAGAGTAATCTGATTTTGCTTAAAAATAACCAGAGAGCTGTGTAAAGTTGGTATTGTGCCCTGGTTACCAGATTAAAATCAGTATTTAACAAAGATATCACCAAAATTGGAGTATTCCTTATTGGAGTCCACTTATAATTTTACAAAATATATGCAAAAGAAATTTCATATAAACACTGTAATATATTACTTACAAGCTCAAGAAGAGAATTTCAAGGCAATAGTTTGAATAAATAAGAACATTTTTTACAAATGACAAACGTATATTAAATATAAAGCTGGCATAACAAATATATCAAACTGTAAATTGCAATTAACTTTACAAGTTAGTTTTTTATTTTTGGAAAAAAAAAAACTCTTAGATTATTCAATTACTTTCTTTGAGAACAACTAGCTGAAAATACTCCTTTATTATTTCATCTTTTGGTCATAACATTTTCAAACACAAGTTAAAGTTTAAAATCTTTCACATATTCCTAGAATTTAAATTCTGGTTTCGAATTTGAGAACACTCCTACAATCAGAATTCTGGTTTCGATTTTGAAAACTAAGTTAAGAATATTTTAACGTTGGTTGAAACTGATGTGATTTGCATCAACATGAATAGTCTGAAAATACAATACTTATTACATACCCATCAGGAACCCAAACTTTTACAAGGGTATCTCGAGACCCAGTAATGAGACCATCTTCTGGTACAACAGCAGCTTTCAAAACGCGAACATCGGAAGAATGAGCTGTGTATGAAAACTTCACGGAATATTTATAGTTCGTCTGTTCCTTTAAAGGATCCATAGCAAATTAAATTTTTCAATACTGTAAGCATAAATCTGGAAAACCTTACTAAGATAAAATTCGGAAGCAAAAAGTTACACACACATTACTCCTACAGTTACCAACTAAAACCTAGCGAACAATCTGAAAGAGCCGGTCAGTATTGTTGCCAAATTCTGCAAACAAAACGTAACAATAAATACTTATGGTAAATTCAGTTTTTTACAGAAGTTACCCGAAAGAGCGTTTTACGTCTTCACTCAATATGTAGTTATGTACCTTTGATATCTCTATTGGCAACAATAGCTTGGCGACATTACTATAGCAATATCGTTAAGTATTAGAGTATTACTATATTTATTGCTTGGTGGAGCGTTTAGCGTTATTTTTCTTTGTGTAAATTTGAATCTGGCTGATATCTGAGACCGGTTTTCCCCCCATTACTCTCTTCGAAATATAATAACTTAGGGTTACAAGAATAAGTTTTCGAGCTAAGGTTCAAAACCAGGGAAGTTTTTGCAAAGAATATGTATAGTAGTACAGACTTTCTTTGGTTTTCGTTCTCAGATATGTTAGTGTGTTGGTTGTAGTAGTCGGAGAATGTAATTTCGGGCAGTTTTAATAACTAGCTGTAATCTACTAGCTAATATGAAGGTTCTAATAACAGGTGATTCGATTATTAAATATGTTTACCTGTATTTACCGTTGGAGCTATGTGTCCTTTCCGGCCATAACACCATAACAATAGAAAGGCTAGCAAAAACATTTCCTCCTTTAAGGAATATGATTGCATCCTTTTACATGTAGGGACGAATAATGTGGATGATAATATCCTGGAATGTAAATATTTAACTCAAATAAGTAGGGTGAATCCATATGCACAGGAATTCTGCTCAGACGATTTATACGGATTTGCACCCTTATCAACAGAAAGAGTCCTGCATTTAATAAACAAATCATTAATCTCCTTGAGAATGTGGAAAATTTAACTTTCTGCATGTCATCTCATGAATGGATTGGATGCATAGCTCTGGATGGCGTTCATTTGAGTGCAGCGGGAATACGGCAATTACCTATGTTATTGGTAATCCAGTTTCCTTCAGTAAGTTCTCCACGAAGGCATCCCTCCCATTAAGCAGATAACCTCGAGGCTTTCCCTTAATCACATTAACCAAACCAAACTACTTTATTTTGTTTGTGTTTTGACATAGCTTCTTAGTGAGGGTGACAAGAGTACCAGTGAAAAAGGAGCTTCGTAATTCATTGGATTTTCCTCCTATCTGATGGCATTGATAATTCAACATCTTCTGAAGTTGTTGCTGAATCAGTTCTGACGAGGTATGTGTGTATATATATATATATAATTTCTTTCCTTCATTCAAATTCAAAGACAAGCAAATATTTTTACAGCAAGGAATCAAGCTTGGCCGATAAACAGATTCCTTGGATATTTAATATATAAGCAGCCTGTTTATCAGCCAAGCTATAAATTCCTGAACCACACTAAGCTTCAGCAACTGCTGAACTATCAGAATCATTATTCATTTTTCTTTTTAATGTAAAAAAGCTTGTAAAGTAAAATTCGATGCCTAAGAGTATCATTTTTTTTAGTACTGTTTTCTGAAAATTACTTAGTGTTTCCTTGTTAAAGTATCTATTGCACTTGGTGGTCACAGTTGGTGAATATAATCGTCCTTTCAAATTTCTGATGTTCTCGAAGGCTGGTGAATGCATTAATGAAGAGCTTTTATCTGTAGCAGATCATTCAGTATTTAAGTTAGAAAATGCATTTTCAGTGCAGAGGCATATTAAAGAACAAGTGGCTCAAGACTGAGTTTTTTATTATATGCACTTATAATTCTGGCTAATCTTTGGAATATGGTAACAGGTAGTTTGGCGACATTTTGGTAAGGCGGTAAAGGTTACTAGGTAGACTTGAGAATAATCTGAGAAGTACAACAGTTCAAATCACATTTTGTCTCGGAAATGAGAGGCCTAATCTTGGAATATGGTACTAGTGTTGGCGACATTTGGTAAGGCGATAAAGGTTACTAGCTAGGACTTTAGCAGTGTACATGGATGAAGTCAAGAGTGTGCGCAATGCCATTTTTGTGCAATTCGAGATTTTTTTTTTTTTAAGTGAAATAGGTCGACGTGTGCATGGATTATCGGGTATGTGCATTCTAAAAACGTGGCAAGCAGTGGGCGATTCTGCACTTTGTCCCAATTTGCACTAATCGTCATGATTAAGTACTTTGTTCCATAAAGTTCTGCATAAGGTAATTCGGCTAAAAGATGTTGAAAAAAATATTGAGTAAAAAAAAAAAAAAAAAACCCTTACTTTTACTTCGTAAAACCATATTGTGTCCAAACAAAACTAGCAGGGTTGGTCATCAAAAAATCGCAGTTTCCATAATCCAAAGATTAACCAAAGGGATCATGAAACAGTACATTTCCGAAAATCAATCGTGTTTATCTAAGCATTTAGAAACAGTTTCGCTGCTAAAGTGCAATCGCCCACTTATTTGTTTGGCGTTTTTACAAGAGTAAAAGAATTGATTTTCCAATTTTTTTCGACTTTTTAAAAGAAAATAAGTGTCTGTACATGGATAAAGTCAAATTATAATGGCATTTTGTGCAATTCTCGGATTTTTTTTAAGTGGAAAATAGGTGTTGTGTACATGATATCGCGTATGTGCAATTCAAAATGCGCGCGCAGCAGTGGGCGATTCTGCACTTTCTCCCAATTTCGCCCTAATCGCATCATGTTAAGCACTTTTGTTCCAAAAGTTCCGGATAGTGTAATTCAGCTAG